CAATGTTTAATTAAAGAACGGTTTTGGATTGTAATTAATTTCTGTGAACATATATTATATACGAAATAAATTCTATTTAATGAAAAGGTGAATCTTCGGTAAAGTATAATAAATGGCAAAGAATTACAGGGCCGTCATGGTGTAATAAGATCATGATACAACGCGAGGAGTAATAATTACATATTCCAGTTATTTTCAGTAAATCTCCGAGCATCCACTAGGAAATTTCAATTAAATTCCTGAGCGGACACAGGGAAGGGAGAACGGTTAAGGAGAGTTCCTGACGATGTACCTGCGTAAATAGCTTGTTGTAGCCAGAATTGTGTTGATTGTATCCGATCATCGCCGGAAGCCAGCGCCGTCGTCGCTAGGGCCGTTGTTCGAATGGCTTTTTTATCCGGGCGCTGCGACTCCGCTATGGCCCAGTTTCAGCTCTGTGAACCGGCACGACCGTTTATCCGCTAAGCTCGCGCTTAGCACACGCTACCGCATTGCGTTTTCTCTTCTTCTCTGCCCGATCGTCTCTTGTCAAATCAAAATTCACGACGCGACGTTGTCGTTGGGAAACGATTACATGAGATCCTTGGATGGCGCCGCGCGGCTACGTCATGCTGGCCGGCTCGATGCCGAGAACGGCTCCCAGATGATATTTTCTTCCTTCAGTTCCCGCTGTTCCACGACTTTTTCCGCTTCCGTTTGCAAGCCATCCAAACGCCAACGGTCGCAATCTACTCGCGACTTTCCAAACTCATCGCGTTTCGATCACCTGCTGTTTCGATCTTCTCGACCATCGTGGGTTCCTTCGCGAGACGAGTTCACTTTTCGAGGATTTCCTCTTGGAGTTCACCCTTGGACGCGCTGTCGACAACGGGATCCTTTGTTGAGTGAAGTAGTAGAGGGAGTTTAAGATTTACACGGATGAACGCAGACCCGGTACCAGTGATAAATCATAAAGAAAAATTTGAATCTCTGAGGTGCATGTTTTTCATTGGCAATTCTTCAGAGCTAGTATTATTAGAAAAGTTACTTAATCTTTGTTTACTATTTAAATATAAAATACTTTTTATAGTCAAGATGACAATATTATTTCATTACTATTGTTTAATCTCAGCATAATAAGAATTCGGTTATTTAAATCAGTTTGGAAAAGAAAAAACTCAATATATGCTATTGGAGAGATATTATACAGTATGTACAATATTTCCTACTTCCACTCATCGACCCATCATGGAAAGTTAGAAGAAGAACGTTTTTTCTCTTTTAAACAACCGTCTCATCCAATATAGACTTATACTACTTATACGGTGCCAAACTGGCGACACCACTGCTGTCACGAAATGTGCTGATATAATTGCGCTTGAGAAGAAGGATCTTAACGAAGGAAGCTGTGAGCAGCGTCTTGCTCTTGGTTGCCACGGTCGGCCTTACCTAACGATTGCTCCCCCGGTAATTACGCTCTAGCAATTAAACTAACAACGCCAGATCGCGGACGTTGTCTTTGTACGAGTTGCACTATTTTCGATTTGTGGGTCGGTCAAGAATTCTGGGCACGTAATATAAACCGTTCTACATATCCCAGATTGCTTTTATTGGTCAAGAGACAGAGAAATTTAACAGTAGCTGAAATCAGATTTGTACAGCTAAGTAATCTATGTCCGGAGGACCCAAAGAAGATTAGAGAGTTATTCAGATAATATTTCTTATTGAAATTTATAATATACATATACAGTTACGTATCATAGCTCAGCTTGATATGGATTTAATAGTGAAGGCCGAATCGATTCTCCGATCGAGCTTGTATGGTTTCAATTGTATCCGACCACGATGACAGATCGCTAAGAGGATTCGAAACTTCGACCAAGGAGAATTATTCGTGTTATCTTGTTAAATTTCGACAAATTAGGAAGTTACGATGTTCGGGAAAGCGAGCGAAATGAAAATAGAATACAGATCATATCAGGGAAAACCGCGAGCAGAAGAGAGTCACGCGATTCCCTCAATCACTTTAGATAATTAATTAATTCCGATTCTACGTAAAGGGGAATTGTTCTATCCACGGTTACAGGATGATCGAGAAAACGACGAGCGACTGAGCTCGAAAAGCTCGGCTGTCTAGAATTATCGAAGCCCACGATGAGAGGGCAATCGATTTCGTTGACCCGCTTGTAACGGAGGATCCATCTAATGCGTTATCATTTTGTAAACAGTAAACGAGACTATTTAATGGGAAGAAACGATTAATGGTTAACTCCTTCATAGAAATGTCAATACTTTAACCGTTGAAAAATTACAAAAAAGAGCATGTTAGCTCTCGTTCGAGAATAACGACAATATCCTTTGAAGAATAACGAGCTCTCTTTATCTAGACGAGCATCCTTTTATTTTTCCCTGAACACGGCGGCGACACAATTTGTCTGAACAGTGCCGATGATATAGCACCATAGAGAAAGGAAAAAAAAAGAGAATACGAGCAGAGAAATTTCACTGTAGGCGTTTCACTTGTCCGGAGACACGCGACCGGTTCACGAGATTCACCCAGGGTTACGAATCCACGAAAACTCGAACTCGGTAGCCTGTGAAAGCGTAGGACGCTCTCAGGAAGCGGGTCAACGACATCGTGGAGTGGCGAGTTCATGTTCATTCGATCGACTCCGGCCCTCCGCGAGACGTTATCAACATTTATTGAAAAGGCCTGTCTGCGTTCTTCCGTAGCCTACTTTCCCTGTCTGATCATAGACGAGGCGAATCTCCTTAAATAAGCTTCGCGTACGTTTCTCATTGATTAACGATACATTCTATTTTTGTCTCTTTTTTAACCTAATACCTGCGTTCGTTCGTCTCGCGCGGAAGTAGATAAGGAAAACAAATATCAACAGCTTGGAAACGTCAAAAAGTAGCCGGGATCGCGTGCCCTCCGGCACGACGCGTGTTCTCTTCACAACTTTAACGAAAGCAGCCGCTTGGACCCAGGCGATCGGTCACCTCCTCGGAAACAATTGAACGGTTCCACAGAATTTGCAGTACACTGAACCTAAGATGGTGTCGGTCTCGAGGGAAGCACGCGTGGATTAAACGACGACGAGGACGTTCCTCCGCGTACTGACACTACATCCTACGTCCCCGCGAACGCGAATCGCGTTCCTGCCTGGTTTAGTTGATACATCGGCCTAAGAATTTGCCGACTAACCCGCTCTGTGGCGCCACCGAGGAAGCCGGACGACACCCCCGTAACTATATCGATCCACAACTACCCCCTTTTCCGTTCTGATCTTCACCCTCCCGTTGCGACCCACACTTACACCACCAACCAAGCTAACGTCAGGCCACTGCACCCTGAAGGCAACGTGTCTTATCAAACCGTACCTACCAGCTCACCCTCTTGGACATTTCCGTGTGTATCAGGGGTTTCGGGGTTGGGCGTGTATCTGCTTGGTAATGTGGGGGTATGCGCCGAAGACGATCGGTCGGAAATCGCGAAACCACGAGACGTCTTTGTCGCCGTTCGTTCGACGGTCAAAGGTTTCTCCAGTGATCGAAACTGTGTCGTGCGAATCAATCGAATCGTTTAGTTGACGAGTTTGTGGGTTTGTTGCGACCCAACCGGAAATAGACACGTGCTTTTCTATGTTCAATCGTGATTTCTTCAAATATCATAGATAAAATCTTAAGAACAGCGAACACACACACACAACTATGATAAATTATTATCAGATTCAGAAAATCAATTGAAGAAAGAATGTTCAATACTATTAGTGTAGTACGGCCGTCAACGTGAATGATAAATGAAATACCAGACAATTTCGAACTCTTGGCCAATCATGACGTTGATTTGACGAGGAGACCAATCCGTTGATTTAATTTTTGTTATTAACGATTGATTACACGTCAAGCTCGACGACAAATAGGATTTAACAAGAATTTCGAACTGAATTTCCCGTGTTGATATCGCGGATTCATCGGAGAATCCAATTTATCGACAAACAATGTGACTCGTTTCCACGATAAGTTTCACCTTTTCACGTGAGTTACAGATTGCCTCAAAAACTGGGTCAAACTAATACGCGTTGCCTTTTTGTCTTTCTAGAGTCTCCAGTGTTATTATAAAGAAGTTTTTTTACCTAAACACCAGTAATTCATTCAAATGTATAAGATTATAGAATTAACACGCTAATAGCCAAGGAGACGGAATTTATATACTCTTCGTTTTTTAATCACTATACCTTCATACCCATTTTTCCAATTCAATCTCTATTTATTCTTGGATAACATTTTTTATACGAAGTCAGATAAATTTACTCGAGCATATTTCACGGTAATAGTAATCGTTCTTGGTGAAGTATAATTGTGTACAGCGAAATGCGCATGTCTGTTTTAAGAGGAGAGTAACCGCAAACCGATCGAATTGAAACATCTTCATACACACGTCCGCTCGACGGTGTATTATTCCATAGGTCGATGTTAATTGAATAAAAGACGTTCCGGCTCTACAAAAAATGCTTCAAGGAGCGCGAACGACAGTAGCCATGTCCAATATTCAAATGATGAGAAGCACACATTGCAAAAGGCTGATTTGGCAAACTTGGCGACTGAGAGGACACTTGGGCATCGAAGGACGTCGCAGCTATTTCAGTAGAAACGCAGCATCGAAGCATCCTGTCATTTAAAGTACAATTTCAAGAATAGACCGGTTACACAAGTTGCTTTCAAGTCGTGGATAAAGCTTTATTGCATATCAGTTTACTTTATATCGAATCCCTCTCGGCATTCCAACATTTTCATTAGCGTTTCAGCCTCGACACAGTATTTCGTGAATAAATCTCGTTTGATTTCCGTTAAGTTAGATCAGAATAATGATTTTTTTCAAAGATTCGCTTGTCGGGCCAAGATCATTCATCGCTTTGGCTTATCGTCAATTGTCAACAAGATGCCAGAAAATGATCTCAGAGTAAAATATTCAAGCATGATTTTATCGTTAGTTAAATCAAATCAACAAGCTTCAGTAAAAACGAAAAATTTCACACTTGCAATACAATGCAACAATACGCACAAGGTTATTAGTTATTAAAAATAAAGGTAGTCGGATTAGAAGATATCAATTCTCAATTCTGTTATCTAAATTGTTCTCTTCAACAAGTTAGTGCAACAATAATTGAATAGCCTGTTCTCTCTGTTTACCTTCCTTCGGCCGAAAGGTTTGTAATGTTCCCGCCTGACTGGACGTCGGAGATGCGCCATTTTCAGGCCGCACGCAGCACGATGAACTCTCAATAAGGCGGATAACTTTGCGCGCACCGGTGACTTGCGGGAACCGTACCGAGAATAACCGTATGAATAAACTCCGTTGAAATGAATCGGGTTTCGTCAGCTTCGCGAGTCCATCGAGTTCCGGCACGAGGTACGTCGAGTCCTGGCTCTAAACCGCATTTATCAATGAGGCGGCCGGTTGTCAGTTCTCAGTTCTCACTTCGCGCGCGTGTACACGTCACGGATTATTACCGCGATTCCGTTGCTGGCGGAGAATGCATCGATCGTTTTCGGTGGCGTCTGGCTAAGTATATAAGAGTGGAACAAAAAGTAATTGGTCTCTTCTGAAACGAAACGATTAACAGGTTTGTTCGTGGAACGGTCAATCTTTGGATCCATGCCGAAAGCAGCGTTGGGACACGATTGATCGTGACGTTCTCCGGGTATACCGAATGCATAAATCTTCAGCCTTAACCTTGGCTTTTGAACCCGATCTCGCGTCAAAAAATCTTCAGCTCGAAAAGCACAAACGAAATACTTACGTCGGAATAAGTGATTAATAATTTGTACGATAAATAATCGCACTGAACTAAACTGTCGTCATGTGTATACTATTTTCGATTCATTTGCATCGTAAATCTACTTAATGAACAGAAGAGAACCTACCACTCATTCAATGCATCCCACGTTTACTCATCTCCTAATACATTCCACAGTTCTTTCGGTTTACGATTTTTTTTATCATTTAATGGTTTTTCTGACACTGAACTATAGAACGTCTCGCGAACAGTCACGATACGCCGGATAGAATAACTGGAAACTTGTATAATGGTTGAATAATAGAGATCCGATCAATTGGCGAACTTCGATCCGCGTTCTGCATTTGCCTGTGTCTTAAGAAACGCGGACGGACGCTGATCGGTAGAAACTGGTGCGAGACGAAGAGGCCGGTACGCTTGTACGTGTGCTACTGGTACGACGAGTAGCTTTTGGAACGCATCACGACCTCCTCTGCTATAAATAAAATAGTGGCCGCCACACCGAAAACTTTGCCAGCCAGCCGAGAGGAGAATGCCCGAATCGTTCTGTTCGACGATGGAACATGATGAAGAATAGCAGCCGGCCGTAGGTGATTCCTACAGACCCGCGGAATGTGAATCAGTCGGCTGGCCTTTAACAGCCGACCATTATCATTATGATTTAGAAAAAGAACTGAATATAGAATCGTTAAACGGTAAATTGCTAAACGAACTAACTTTCATAACGTGCAAACAGAAATCTTCACGAGTGTCGAATGAAATCGAAATCTGAAAGATTGTGGAACTTAAGTCTGAAGAGATTGTCGTTAGAGATTGAAGTTACTTGGTGTTATTATCGCACGACGGGTTTGATGAATCGGTCAATACTCGACGAGAACAAGCATTGTAATCGATATCTAGGTCTGGGTTAAATCGAAGTGCTACTAAAATTTGTTAGAGTAGAACAAGTTCGATGCCAAAGTAAATAATCCTTGGAACGTCATCGCTGTCAATATTGTTTGTCTGCTGGAATATCAATAAAATTGTACTCCATAAATAAAAACACTCTACTGCAATTCTTACACAAGTTTTTGAAGTTAGGGATCAAATTGTAATGTGTAATGCAATGCATCGGAAAGAAAGATATCAAATCTTATGAACCAATTTTCCAACAGAAATATTAGATTAGAAAAACGTGGACTGGAATTGTTCCGGGATTTACAATTCCGGGAACGCTAAATTGAAATTCTTTGCGCGCCTATGCCAAACTACTTATGCTTTAATCAGACGCGAGGAATGCAGATTCAGCGATACCCTGTCATCGCTCGCTTTTCGCTTTTCCCCCGTTAACTGGGTCAGCTTCTTGTTTTGTCACACCAAGAGAGACGCGTCGTCAGCTGATTTTCTTAACCGCCACTAATTCCTTCCCTCGTCGAGACTGAATGAAACTGCTCTAGTAGCTACGTTCGCGCTTGCATTTATTGTAACCCTCGCTTGCAAAATGGCTAGCAGGATTGATGGTAGAAAGACAGGAGGAGGAAATTATTCAAATCGTGTCTCGTAAAGGAACTTTATTGGGTATCTAACCGTTACTTCGACAATCTAAGTGCCAGGCACGGGTGCTGTGCACGACACGATGACTACTTCAAAGTTCCTGTGCTAGCAGATACCAATTACCTTTGGCACTGTACATGTCTGGACATCAAAAACGTTCTTTTATACAAGAGAGAAGAATTTTTCATGTTGTAGCCATTTGCAATATATGAAATGAAATTTAGCAACAAATGCATGTAAAATTAGGGAAATATTTCTGTTATATTAACAAATTGATTGAATAGTTGTACTTGTTGTTTAATATAATTGTTAGATTTCCTGTACCACTATTTTACATTTTTTCTAAGTGTACTCTGGATAGATGCAAAAGCGCAACAGGTGTATTGTATCTGAAAATTGAGGATTGTATATGTTCTTTAATATCGTAATACAAGATGGGAAGAGTCAAGAAAATCAATGTTCACTTTCCTTGGGAAAATAATGAACGATTTATTTAAACTAAAGGCGCTTGAACAACATGTATTCGCAACTTATAGTAGACAGTGAAAACTGAGGATTACGAACATTTCTGTTGGACACTGAAAGGATATCGACCACCGACAATCCACTGTTACCGACCCACGGTAGAACTCACGTTAGAGTATGAAGGGTTGTGGAAGATGGAACAGACCGTCAGATGACTCGAAGCTGCTGAACGAAGCTAAAGCTACAATATATCAATGTTTCTATCAAATCCTTTTTACTAAAATTCTTCAAAAGAATAATTATATTGTCATTGAAAGTTGGAATTTATAAACTGCAAAATATACAGACTCTGCAATATAAAGTATGTGAAATAAAAACACGTTTTAATTAACATATTCCAATTCCGAATTTCTCCTTATTGTATAGGAATATTAAAGCGCCCATCGTTAATTATTGTACGATCTTGGAAAGAAATCAGCAGAATCTATTAGTAGAATTGAGCCAGCAGACACTGCATAATCGTCTCTCGTTAGTGTCATCGAACGGGAGCATCAGACAGATACCGAGAGTCGATGATTCTCGACAGATTAACTCACCAGCATCTTTGAGCGGCGCCTACTGAAACCTCGCGCGTCGTTCCCCGTTTTAATTATTCACCGTCTCGGAATTTCTCCTGCGCTATTACCATAGTAATTACAACCATTAACTTCTTTGTACCGGCACATTCCTTCGCCGTTATCCGCTCATCGGATCTTTACCAATTTCCACGAATTACTTCAATTGGATGTAACTGCTCCTATCTTTTAACCCATCTCTAAAAGTAGCCACTCGAATTTTAAAAAAGGTCCATTCAGAGTCGTAATTCAATTTGGTGAAAGTATCTTTTTAAATGAAGGAGAGCTTTTATAATCTCGATTTTTTTACCGATTTAAATACTATAAATTAGAACAGTTAGTCGACTTTTAGATTTTTATAGTATCCTGATCTAATATAGAATGAGTTAGTATTGGATACTCAATAAAAAAATTATATTATTTGAAATGTAGCGATCATTACATATAAATTGTTCCATGAAAGATTAATGTGGCAATCGAACAATGAGCAGCTAGTGAAATCCTATATGATAATTTCTTAAATGGACAAGCATTGGTCAAAGCAGACACAGCGCTACTAATTATTCAGCACAGGTCTCTGTGCAAAATACGAGCGTCTCTTCCTTTATTTAGAACGATGCACGTCTCTTTGAATGCCTCGTACCTCATCCTAAATTTCATTTTCACACGATGCGGTATGTATCCCACACCTGATTCATTTCGTTCGCATTACCGCGAGCGCTGGCCTCCAGAAATTTAGGCCGTTTTTATACATCGCATCAAAGCTTCGACGCTCAAACATTTAGCACTCCCAACCCCTGTGTTACTCTCTTTCCCTTTCGGTTTACTCGCTGCAGCACGAGACACGAGTGTTTCGAGTTTTTCCAGAAGCACACGAGACGCGATCGACGGTTCCGTGACACGGATCGCAGCTGCACCGGCCGGCAATAACCGAAGGTCGAGCAGTAAATTGTTCTCGATTGCGGCGAATTAGCCGACGATCGCTATCGCGAGCCTAAAATTATTTTCTTTGAGCGCGCGATAATCGTCGCGCTCGGCTCGCGAGCATAGGTAATTGCTCCGACTACTCTGTTTCCGCAATTGCGTTTTGGCTTTACACTTAACGAATTAAAAGTTTGTTAGCGATAGCGAGTCGAATGCAAATGTGAAAAAGAAACACATAATAATACTTTTTTTTTGCTTATTAAAATGTAGGAATTGAATTGTTCGTAGTATTGGCTGTGCAGTATTAATGCTTGATTACATAGTTTGTGGAATAAAATAGCTCATTTTCTGTGTATCTGTAGAGTAAATTGTTCATTAGGTGAGTGTCGCGTGGCATAAAACGTTCTGCCTCCTGGTGCAGAGTTTGATATAGTTAGAGCATTCTGTGTAAAGTGACCTATATAGGCTGCTCTATATAGAGCCCTGTGTACAGAATGTTTCGCATAAATTGCTCGGTACAGGGTGCCCTAAATACACAGCCTTCTGTATCTGGAGTACAGAATTTCCAATATCCAATGCGCTTTGTATTCAGATGTAGTTATATACAAAATTCTCATTGCAAAAAGTATTTTCTAAATTCAAATATCATTGAGAGAAAAAAAATGTACACAGCACGATATTTTGGGTTTTTGAAATAACAATCGAGATACCGGAAATTAGAATTGTACCCGGCCTATGTCAATTTACTCGCGGGCCAGGAACCTCTCCAGTTACGACGTTTGAAGAACAGCAGCAAATTCCACTGTTTTCGGAGTTGGCAGCGGTAAACAGGGTCCCCGCCGAGGGTTTCGTACCTTGAAGGGCCCGGATCAATAGACGGCAGATGGCAAGCACCTGACAGCGTTCTCTTTTCGAAAGATTCTTTTCCCGAAACTCAGAGCTGGGCCGAGCCGATAGCATCGACAATCTTCTAATTTTATATTACGATCCCTTTCTTGAATCGCTAGGATAAAAAGAATCTGGAGGTATGTACGCAGCTTGATACTCGTCCTTGAACCGACAACGAAGACAACGACACGAAGAATCATGAAGGCGAATTAGATCTAATCGAATGATTAAGTACAACGGGCGACTGATCGTGGTGGACCCGGTTACCCTAACTCGAATGAGAGTACGCATAATACAGTACAGAAACGAACTATGTGCACTCATTTATAGAGAAAAAAGTTAATCGGATGATGACCGTACTGGAACAATGTAGATTGCATGAATTATCACCAATTATGGCAGACTTCATAATTTCAGAGACGAATAATTATACCGTCGCCTCGTGCCAAGTTTCTTCAATTAATATAACCCATAATAACAATAATTGTGCACGCCTCGAGGATCTCAATTTTGTGGGTCATCGTCGTTCTTTCTCTTCGTCGTATTACGTTCTTCGAGTGTCAGCAGAGCGTCGGGGAACAGTACAGTTGGATTATGAAAGGTGGGAGATGGACCAATAATTACACTGGTCGTTGCTTTAAGCACGAGATGGCTAGCTGTTAAGCAACAAGCTATATAGATAGAGTCGAAATAATCAAAACTAGAAACGTAGCCTGCGTATTAAGCTTAATGTAAAATCCTAATACGCATCCATTTCATCCGTCTGAACATTTTCACTTTTTTATTGTCTTGTAAAACCTCTTTAAGGATGTATTGGCTATACAATCGATCCCAAAAGNNNTTTACTGTAATCGTAAAATCTTTTAAAATAGTGGCATTAAAATTTAATTATCATCAATTTAATCAATTTCTAAGAAACTAATATTCTGTATATTACTGACATTTATTGCTGATTCCAACATGAATGTCTCGAGGGCAGCCACGTTTAAAAATAGTTCTCTCAAAGAAACCG